CATTGTATTATTCTCTTAAGCCAGAGATAACCAACATGACAAGGTTCTTTTCTTTAACTGGTTCACCAATATTAGCAAGAGCATTAGAATACTCTTGTGCACGGGTTAAGTAAGCAGATGAGGACTCCTCTTCTTTCATTGTGATTTTCAGAAGTTGGGTTTTAAGAGTATATTCACGAGAAGAAATATGAGGAGCATAAGCACTTTCTAAAAACAGCGAAAGATCACGTGATGTATTACCTTGAACATGCTGAAAAGACGTCTCGGAGATGGTGGACATAATAAGCATTCGAACTTGCGCATCATTAGAGACCCATGTATTGTAACAAGGGTTAATGGTAGATCTGGATGTGGTCACGATGTCGCCTTCTTTTCCAGTAGGGGTGGTGGACACGATGGTGGCTGGTGGGCATTGTATGGTGCCATCAACATACCCGAACAGGTTGTTTGTAACCAGAAAGGGCTCTAACATAGTTTTCCAGTAGCCATAGTTGTTTGGGGACAAAGTAAAGGCAACTTTATGAGAGTTGTGGGTTGTTTTCTCGGCAGTAGTGAATGTTGTGAGAGGCGCCATTGTATTGGCTGATGTCAATGTGTACTGATCGACAAGAGAAAAGAGGAAGAAGGAGTAGAAACAGGTGCATGTTGATGTGGATGATTGTCGCTGTCTTGGTGCAATCGATGATATGTATGATCGAGAGGGCTGCTGTGGCGCCAATTTTAGGGTTAGGGAATAGCGGCTCTGATACCAAGTTAACTTGGTAAAACGTAAATTGTATATTATTCCTTAGAATGTCACGATTACATAAGTATTAATAATATATATATATATATATATATATATATATATATATATATATATATATTTACACTATGATCCCTTTAGAATATAAACATGTAATTAATGCCTAATATATATATATATATATATATATATATATATATATATATATATATATATATATATATATATATATATATATATATATATATATATATAACATTTGTCTAATAAGCCCTTCCATAGACAAGATGAACAGGAAAGGGGAGAGGGATCCCCCTACCAAACGCCTTAGGTAATCTTGAATTCCATCGTTGGGCTGCCATTAATAAGGATAGAGGCCCTTGAAGAAGTGAGGCAGCCATGAACCCAAAAACGACACCAGTTTCCAAATCCGATTTGAGAGAGTATCGTATCAAAGTAGTGTCAATAAACATAATCAAATGTTTTGTCGAAGTCCACCTTAAATAAAAAAAGCTTTCTTTTTGTCCTTTTTCGTCCAAGGTAAGATTTTATTGATTCAACCATTGTTGACCTACTCGGAATGAATCTTTTAAATCAATATATAATATCAAAGTTTTAGATTTTCTGGTGTATATTATTTTTTTTCTTTGGGTAACGGGTTTGTCTTTTTATTAGTTTATGAATTATACTTATTAAATAAATTATCCAAAAAAAAAACACTAAAATTTGTTGCACATACCACACGTTAATTCATAAATAGCTTTATATGCCCAGAAAAATAAGAATCTTAAATTGATATCTATAGAAAACATATGGAATAACATTGCATTTAGGAGTGAATAAGACCATATTTCCGTTATGTAGCATGCGTGGCTAGGACCATGCTAAGGTACTTCATAATTTCTAACATTTAAACTTTTTTCTTTAAAAAAATGTTTAATTAACATTCATATATATAAAGTTGGAAAGTACAGCTCAATTATCTGGCATTAAGATCGATGTGGATATGGTTTAACGTCGAGGTAACAACATAAATGGTTATTATGTTTATATAGTATTATGTTTATTAAGATCGATGTGGATATGGCTTAACGTCGAGGTAACAACATCAATGGTTATTATGTTTATATAGTATTATGTTTATATAGTGTGAAAAGGTAAAAACATTATATTTATTCTATTATTCTGCAATAAATATTATATATATATATATATATATATATTTTGTTGAAATTATTCTAATATAAATGTTAATGTTTGAGTACTCATATATTCAGTAAAGTGTTATTATTTTATTATAAATTTATATATGTGTATTTTTGTAGTAATTCTAATTTTAGTTTTAACATGTGAGTATTTACTTATTCATTGCTGAATAATGACATAAAATTGTGTATATAAAATTTATTACAGAATAATAATATAAAAATAGTGTTTTTACGTTTTCACATTATTTATAGTTTTTATTCAAACTATCATATATATATATATATATATATATATATATATATATATATATATATATATATATATATATATATATATATATATATATATATATATATATATATATATATATATATATAAGGTTCAATAGAGAACCATAATTAACAAGTAATCAATGAACCAATCGTGAGCGTTGAAAATTATAATAATCAACGGCAAAGGAAATAAATGCACATTTTTACATTGTACGTATATATACTGGATTATATCAAAAAATCCACCTCCTTACCAAAACAACGTACCTTTTTTTTTTGTTTAAAATTTTTTTAGACCACATTTTTTATCAAAAAAAAAAACGTTGTTATCGATTTTTCGTTATCTTTCCATAGAGATCAATGTTGATATATAAAAAATATTTTTTTTTCGAAAAAAAACTACTTCATTTTGTTAGTTTTTTCAATATTTAAGTTTATGTTTATATATATATATATATATATATATATATATATATATATATATATATATATATATATATATCAAAAATATTATTTTTTGTACTCTATAATAAACATAAACACCGATTTGAAAAAAAAACTTGAATAGTGTAGATTCACACTGTGAATCTAAACTGTAAATATTTCAATTTTTAACATTCACAATGTGAAAAAACTCGAACAATTCTGATTCACATTGTAAATCTGACTTACTATTATGCACACTGCGAATCTAAGAAGGTTAACAAAAAAACATCGATCGGTGTAGATTCATACTGTAACTATTTCAATTTTTAACATTCACAATGCGAAAAAGCTCCGATCAGTTCAAATTCACATTGTGAATCTGACTTACTATTATGCACACTGTGAATTTAAGAAGGTTCACAATGTGAATCTGAACAGGTTCACAATCCGAATCTGAACTGAAATATCGGGTTTTTTTACATGAATATGAATCTATGTTTAAAAAGTACGAAAAAACATGAATTTTGTATTTATTAATTTTTTTCAAAAAAAAAAATAGATCTTAACTTTTCAACAAAGAAAATGAAGTGGGTTTTTTTTTTGAAAAAAAAAATTGTTTTTTATATATATCATCATGGATCTCTTTGGAAAGAGGACGAAAAATCGTGAACAATAGTATACTCGTGTTTTTTTCGATAAAAACATAGCCTAAAAAAATTAAACGAAAAAAAAGAACTGAGTTTTGTTATAATCCGGTACATGTACGTCAATTGTAAATGTCTACAACCCTTCATTTTATCGTTGATCGTTTTAAATTTCAACGCTTTTGATTGGTTCATTGGTTCCTTGGTTAATAATTGTTATCTATTGAACTTATATATATATATATATATATATATATATATATATATATATATATATATATATATATATATATAGGTAATTATGATAAAGATAAAATATTAAAAAGATAAAAGATAAAAGTCTATGGTTAATACGTTAGTGAGTTGGTTATTCATCCAAAAGCCTTGATTAAATTCGGTATATCCCAATACCTATAATAGTTAATCATGCGAGAGCTACGAAGATATGTATAGATTTATATGAGGCTATGACAACCCCACCTGCGATTGCACGCTACAATCCAGACAAGATACCTTCCATATAAGTTATTATTTGATGTCTAATGAAGCGTCATGATCAGGGGTGCATTTACGGTCGTAACGTCGGTTATAGGGGCTCACATTAATATATTAAAAATAACTTAGAGCTTATATTACCATTATGGACGTTTGGTATGGTAATTAAAATATGTTATGATCGTTAGAAATCCTGAAAAGATAGTAAATTAGGATTAACAAAAGACAATCCCAATTAAAATACGTTAGGATCGTTAGAAATCCTGAAAAGATAGTAAATTATGATTAACAAAAGTCAATCCTAATTAAAATACATTAGCATTGTTAGAAATCCTGAAAAGATATTCATTTAAGTTCAGTATAAGATATCTTAAAAGATAGAAGATTATATAAATATATAAGAAAGGTTTTTACTAAAGAAAAGTATTCTTAAAAGGAAATTCAAAAATTCAAAATAAAAACGCGTGCACTCACCAACATTATGTTGACTTTCAAAATCTATGTATTCTCGGGTTAATAGGATACATTCTTTATACCGTCACACTACTCGGTGTTTTCGCCAAAGGGCGGACATGGGATGTGACAGAGATGGTTTCAGATCTTAGGTTTAGCTATAGTGAATCAGTATTTCCTTATGAATAGCAACTTAGTATTTCTTTAGGAATTACGACTATATCTTAGGTCAAATACTCGGATTGGGTTTGTCCTCCAACTTATAACAAAAAAAATATATATATATATATACCATAAAATTTCCTACTAATATATGTCAAATTGTCCTGCCCACCGAATTTTCCTACCTGGTCGATCCATACATAGTCTAGAATTATAAAACAAATAATGAACCCAAATTCACAATTAAACACATAACATAAAGATAAATATCCAAGAAATTCAATATGTAAAAGTTGAGTTACTCCAAAGCATAGCGTGATCAACTATGTTTAGTCTTAACTGAACCAATACAACATCTGAATTGGGATAGACAAATGAAGCATAAAAACCATAAGTATATAAATACAATCCCAAACCAAATAAGATATGTTAGAATACATCATAAAGGTATCAAAATAAAAAATAAAACTAACAAATCTACTCCTCACTACCCTCCGACTCCGTCTCAGTCTCCTCGTCATCGTCGTCGTCATCATCGGTGTCTACTGGATGTGTGCCTGAAGGACCAACACCATTGTAACTAGAGCTGTGTGGCTAAGAAGGGGGTGGTACAATGTGATCTGCACCAGGAAAGGGCAGATGGCCATCCCCATACACCGTATCACCACGACAAGCCAACTCATCATCCAACGCCGCCCCCCGTGCAATGGTGAGACTCCGCATCACATCTCCAAGAGTATGCTTCGGATAATCAGGCTCTACATGCCTAGGTCTCTGATGCCTTGCAAAGGTAGGCTCATGAATGACCTCCGGATCCTCCCACCGAATCGGCTCGATTATGTCATCCTCCAATATCCTCCAAGGCTGCCCCGCCTCCCTTGTTAAAACCCGCATCTTTCTGAGAGTTGTAGTACCCAACTCCCGGATAGGTATGCTGACCATCGCACTAGTATTAACCTAATTGGATAAGGATAACCTAGTAACCCAGTGACCCCGCAAATCCTGCTCGACGATGTGGTACCTAGAGCCATGGCAAAAAGGCAAAAAGCAAGGGCGAAAGGAATGTGAAGACGAACCTCCATCTGAGTGAGGCATCACATATAGAAAAGGTCGTCAGAAGGAACTATCACACCCCCGAGCCGAAAAAACGGCGGAAACGTCTGGGGGTTAGGTGAATTCATCTTGTAATATCATCACAATATATATAATTGAAACAAGACAACATCATCATCACACATACAATAATACAATAGTACTGGGTTTACATCATTGTAATTGTTTATAAAAGTTACATCCCAAAAATATAAAGTGTATGGTAGCAACAAAATGCAACAAAAATCCACATGATCTTGATGTCCATTTGCTTAACGATTTCCTAAGAATACAAGTTATTTTGAAAACGTCAACATATATAATGTTGGTGAGTTCATAAACATGTTTGTAAGAAAAGTATTGTATCACTTTGTAAACACCAGAAAATCTGATATTTTCTGTAAAATGGTTTGAAATCTTGTGTTAAAGCATGCATGTTTCTGTTTTTGAAAATGTATAAAAAGAGTATTCCAAAAAATCCTATATTTTCTGTTGTAAGTAGAAGGTATTGTATAGTTGTATGTTTTCCCAGAAAATCCGATATTTTCTGATTGTAAAAGTGTTGTGGTCTTAAAACCTTAAGACCAAGTACCAATGTATGTATGTTTTTGTATCGTTAAAGTGGTATATGTATTCCGTAAATTTATAATGGAGTTAATCTCTATGTAAGTCATTATAGCCATACTTGATAATGACTGATGCACCTGTTATGACGTTTTTCAGGCGCCGATTTGTTTAAGGTAAGGTTTGTCACCCTAGACTGGCCTAGACGCCTAGTCTAACTGTAGCGAACAACTTAGGTGTGGGGTGTCAACCCCATATAGATCTATACACAAACTCTCGCTCTCCTTCCAGGAGACTCTGGTTATAACTACAGGCTTACGATTGTACACTAGATAGGTACGAATAAGTGAAATGTCTCACAAGAGCCTTAACTGAATTTACTCGAATATTGTCTTACACTATGTAATGCAGTAAATAATGTTCCCGTGTATGTTTTAAGTTTACTAGGCCCAACAAGCATGTAAATGGACCACAAAGGCCCAATAAACATGTAATGTATATTCCATACCTAATAAGCATGTAAATGGACCACTAAGGTCTAATAAACATGTAAGGTATATTCCAGGACCAACAAGCATGTAAATGGACCATTAAGGCCCAATAAACATCTAAGGTATATTCCATGCCCAATAAACATGTAAATGACGTATTTAGTCCATTTGTTATTACGTTGTTTGTTTAAGCCCAATTGTTTACCAAAATGACATAAAATGCCCCCTTTTGTAATAATGACATTTTTGGTCGATAAAACTAAAAATTTACAATTAATGCACATTTTTGGTAAAAATGACACTTTAGGTCTCTTAAGACCAAAAGTTTACATTTAAGGGATTATTTCAAATAAAATAACATTTTAGCCCACTTTTGTTAGAAATAACATTTCGGACCAATTCTATGAAAATTTACATTTTCGGCCCAAACGTATAGAAATTTACCTTTTCGGCCCAAGTTTAACAAAATTGACATTTTCAACCCATTTAACCGAAAATTTACATTTTTGGCTCCAATTTGTTTAAAATGACAATTTAATCCACAAAAGCAAAAGTTTACAAATTAAGCACATGAAACCGTGAAGGCCCAACTTTAAGCCCATTTTGTGAAAACTAACACTTTTGACCCTTTTAAAACCATAAATATCTTTAAGACCCATTTTATATAAAAATGACACTTTTGGTCCTTGAAAAACCGTGAATGTCCTAAAGGCCTCACCATTTGTTTATTTGTCAAAAATGGCCTCTTAAACGGTTTTTTATCCTCCCCCAAAAACGATATAAAACCAAAATCAAAAGGTATGAACTCACTTTGGTTGATGGATTTGGTTTTGGTGAGGAGTTTGGAGTAGATTTCGGCCTATCAAGATCCTTTGAGGAGATCTTCGAACTTAAGGAGTTCTAAGGAGCATAAACACGAGATTGGTAAGGTTTTGAGGGAAGATCTTAGCACAATGTGGATTTATTCAACTTAGGAGTGGAGTAGCTTAGCTAGTATATAAGTTTGGAGAACCTTTTTGAGCACCACACAAACCACGATTTATGATGAGAAAATAGAAGGATTGTTCTGTGTTTTTGAATGAGATGTGAGTGGATTGTTAGTGAGTGTGAAATGGGAAAATGAGAGTGTTTCGGGTGCTCTCGGCCGAGGTTTAAGAAGAGAAGAGAAGGAGTAGTCGGGTGGGTAATACATGGTGGTTTAATTCCTAATCCTAGAAGTTTTTTGGTCAATTTGCATGGATTACCTCCTTGCAATAAGGAGGTGTGAAAAGCTCCAAAATTTTCTTTTTTAATTAAGACGAGAATGGAGGGTAGAAAGAAAAACATGGCTTTTAGGCTTGATATTGCATTGTCCCAATAAATGGTTTTCGATCCATATGGGCCCACACATAAGTTTAAATCCCAAAATGTTAAAAGGAATGGGTTTTCGGCCTATTACAATTAACTATGTGGTTTTCGTCCCAATAAGTGATGGGTTTGAGCCATAAGAACTTTCCTATGTGCATATGCAAACCCTAAAGTTTGGATCTAGGTTTCTCTAATTGAACATGCTTTGTATCCAAGACTTTGAATCATAGATCTAGTGTAAACAAACAATTCATAACATATGAAATTAGATCTAGAAGAATACCTTGAGTTACTTGCTTGAAAACTTCCTTTTCTTGGAGCTTAGAGTCACAATTGTCACTCCTCTAATGGCTTAGTTTGGAGGTAGGACCATTTCGGCATATAGCTTTTCTGAAATCCAACAACCAAACCCAATGTGACCATTCTAGACACCCCTTCCGTAAGTAGTTCAATCAGTATAACGACTTTGAATCACTGATAAATTTTATTTATAGGTTCATAATAACGATATTATAAGCTATATTTAAAGTATGGTAGCATAACTTACTTAGCTAGGAGTCGGATTCTTCAGGGGCAGAACTTCGTCGCTGAATCTTTCTAAAAAAGATTCTTGCAACACTTTAACATTCACCTTACTATACTAAAAACTACAGAATGAGAAGTCGAATCACGAGGGACCAAAATGCTCGGGGGATAAGAAGAGAAAGACTCTTGAATCAAGTGAACGGTGCAAGAAATATGACAGCTTAAAGGCTCTTATTTATAGTAATTGAACTTTCAAAAACCACCCTCTATATTTACTTAAATGACTAAACACCCCTTTATAATACTATTTTAAATAGATTTAATGATATTTGTACTAAACTTATGTCGAAAGTACTCAACATTAGTCTTATAACGACCGCATCATCGATACCTTTCTAATGATATATACATATGTATAGATATATAGATGTATATATGATTTACATTTTATTTTAATACGTAAATGTGCTATTAAAAATTATAACTCGTTCGTAAGAACTCCATTTTTGACGTTCTTTATATCCACACGTTAGTATTTATGAGTACTAAAACTTTCATTTCGACGCCATCAGCTAATTCTCATTCTATCTCAGATTTACAAAACTATATCGAATTTATCGCGCTCAAAGAGTAGGGACCAAGTTTCGTCCATATCTTTAACATACGAGCTCTACTCTCAACGTTCTTTATATCTACGCATTGGTATTTTTGAGTAATACAACTTTCATTTAGACTCCATCGGCTAATTCACATTCTATCTTGAATTTACAAATCTGTATCGAATTTGTCGCGCTTGAAGAGTAGGGACTAAGTTTCATCCATATCTTCCGCATACGAGCTCCGTTTTCGACTATGTTTTTTATCGTTAAGCTCCTATTAACGAGATCTTAAATTCCCGTTTAGACTGTTTTGGTTAAAAATCGACCGATCTAAAATTCGAATTTCGGACTATGCACTGCTATGCTAATTCTTAGAAAAATCATAACTTCCTCATACGAAGTCAGATTTGGATGTTCTTTTTATGCACACTCTCGGTTTAACGTATACTACGACTTTCATTTAGATGGCTAAGGGTAGAAAGTATTTTATCGTAAATTCATTTTTTACGATTCTCGGTGTCGTGTTGGTTTTGTCGTATAACTTCGACGGGTCATAACTTCTTTGTTATAACTCGGATTTCGGGGTTCTTTATATGTATGGAACCCTTGTGACATATACTATAACTTGGTCAAGATTATTTATTCTAAATAATCTTATATTAAAAATATTATTTTTGACGTTTATTGTCTCTAGATTGACTAACCCGAATTTACGGGTGTTACACTTTTAGTGAAATATAATAAAAGAGTATTTAAACATTAATTAAACTCATCGAAGTCTTCACATGGTTCTGACTTTGCACCATTTGGGCACGTAAGTTGCTTGTAGTTCCACCTAAATTCTATCAAAGTTCTCGATTCAGCTACACTAAACCAAAGGGAGACTAGGTACGACTAAAACACAAACATACACATAAATGACTTGTAGTAACCCGCTGGTATAAATGTTAGAAATGGATATTTGAATGTGATAAGTAAGAACATGAGAGAAGGGAATGTTGGATTAGGAGGAAGAAGTTGGAGATATGGGGTGAAGTTATCACGATGTTAAAGATAAGTTAATTAAACAATAAATAGTTAATTAGAAGTGAAATCAAATAGATGTAGAGATAATGGTCAAGCTTGATCGTTAAAGCGAGCATGATGGACGTTGAAGGTTGACGTATAGAGAAGAATGCGAGATTTGATGCGGTTTTAAGTCCCGATGATGTTTAGGGATCGTCGTATAGGTTGAAGGAGGCATGGAGCAAGACGATTAACCTAAATTTCATTAGCAATGTCTAATGTATGCATTAGAGACTTGTACTTATATGTTGTGTTAGAA